GCAGATCAGAGAGGTGCTGACGGGGATACGCCCCGACCCAGCCCCTTCTGGAGCATAGAGGCGCAGCGACAGTTCATGGAAGCTACTCAGTCATCGCATGTAGCACGGCCATCAGACCTAGCGCGGCATGAGCAATCAGAAGAGCAGAGACTCAAGGAAGAGCAGGCGGAGGATCAGCAACAGTTGGAGCCTCCGTATGGTGGGGATACAGGGGATCAAGCCACTATGGGTTTGGATCCAGAAGCGCAGCGTTTGGTTTCGGAAGGCACTTCGGCGGAAGAGTCTATGAGGGGTCGTTCATCGGCTCCGGCCCAAAATCCTTTGGTGGCCAGGCTTGATGTGCAGGACAGCTCCCCGGGAAGGAGGAGTATGGGTAAAGAGAGTGAGATTAGCGCCAAAACGGTGGTTTCGAGGTCGGATCACAGTCGGGTGCCGCAACATGATAACAGTGAGAGCGAGTTGGTACCGGATTATGCGGCGGCGTTGAGCGCAGCTGCAGGGCAGGAATCGGCCCCGACTATAGCTCCACAGACGGTGATGAACCAACTGATGGGGCAACTTGGTGGGATGATGAGCAAATTAATTGCGGATCAGGTTACTCCTATGCTGGGGCAGGTGTTGGAGCAACAAACGCATCTGGATGCGCGGTTGGGAGCGCTGGAGGCGGCATCCATACCGGCGTCAGTTGATGGGGACTTGCTTGATCGAGCGCGGCTGCTTAGTCTGGAAGCTGGACCTCCAGAGCAGAGGCCAGAACCCACCCAGGTAACCGAAGAGTTGGCAGCAGCAGATCTTCGCACACCGGGTGCCGGTGAGAACCTCATGCGGGATGATAATCAGAATAAGCATGGGAAGTTTAGCGCTAGAGGTCTGCCACAGCCACAAACGGAAACCCCGATACCCACCCAAGGAGTGGTTTGGGTAAATGGTTCATCTTACGCTTGGCACGTGGGTGCTGGAGGATTGCAACTGATTCCAACAGAGACTGGAGGGTCAGAAAGCGTTGATGGTAGGAGAGTAGGTGTTCCTAGGAGGGTGTCCGCTAGCGACGTGCTTGAACCTAGGGCAAGATCACCGTTTGAGCGACACCCGGGAGCCCAGTCAGAGCCTGGAAATGAGCGACCACAACAGGAATCTCGAGCCTTGAGGCCCAGCGTGTCTGAACCACAGAATGCATTGGAGTGGGATCAGAGCCGGGATAGACAGGGAGAGTTAACTTGGTATGGTGCTAGTTTGACTGCTCCTCTAATTGCTGC